TACATCAAGGCCAAGGTGTTGACGGCAGATAGAGGCCTGGTCATGGGAACATCCAAGTCTCACACGATGGCTTTCCCTCCACAAGTTCACCAAGGCCCGTATTCTCTGGTTCCTGTTTTGGAGGAGACCACATACCTTACAAGGCTGTCCATTCTCTGATCATATAACTTCAATATCGTGGAATGTTGATCCTTATGGCATGGCTATTTGTCTTCCAGAAACATCCACTCTTGGTAGCTACACAGAATAAGTCTATAGTAATCTGAGTGTGTAAGAGAGGGACATTGTGGAGATGCTGGGATGTTAGAATGGTTGTGGATACTGGACGATCCAGTTCTACTGGTGTGTCTGAGGAAGGGGTACTGGCCCAAGAAGCCTGGAGCAGATGCCTTTACCTGGGAAGCAACAATAATGAATCATGGGCTGAAGGCACTGGACTCTATTTCATTAGCCAGAGGTTATATCCCAGAGGCTCAACTCAGCACAGAGCTGCCCTGGGAACCAGGCTGATGTCAGCATGGTGGGTCATAGAATTCTGGAAAGGACAACAAGTGAAATGAAGTGAGAGCATAGGGTGGCAAGGGCTCCAGGTGTGAGTTAGGCCACCAGGAGATGGTGGGCTAACCATCTCAGGCTTTTTTACCACCTGGGCAAGTCTCTGGACAAGCCATGGTTTCCTCATCTATAAAATAAGAAGTTTGAACCATAAATATTTAAAAGCCTTTCCAGCTTGAAGCTTCCAAGATCTAGATTTTCTCTAGAGTTCTTAGTAAGGTTCCTGCCCCAGGACTGTCTTCTCCAGACATAGCTCAACATAAGGAAGAAACAGAACAAGAACAGCCCTTCTTTAGTCTCCTCCTTTGAAAAGCCAGGTGGTCCTGTTGGCTGGGGAGAAGGGGCCTCCATGGTTGCTTCTCTCCCCAGGACCTCTTACCTTGGCTCCTTTTGATTTCCTGCACAGGCGGGAGGTATCTAGACCACTGTGACTTGAGAAGGCACTTGCTTCCGATTGGGCGGTGTCTCTGGTCCTCAACTCCAGGTGCGAAGACTTCTCCTAAACCTGAACCCCTTCACTTCCCTAAGCCCCCCAGCCCATCCTCCGGCTGACTCTCTGTAAATTCACTGACTTGCATTCCCTAACCCTATGTTGGGTGCATGTCTGCCCGTTGAGAAAAGGTACCATGGAGGAGGAGGGAGAAGGAAGACAAAGCTCCTTCTGCAGCTCGGCCACACTCTCTCTGGCCTTCTTGCCAAAAGACTGTCTCCCAAGTTCCCTGGGGAAGACTAGCTCCAGCTGCCTTGGTTCCAACACTTGGTTGGATCAAGCAGGTTTCCTTAAAAGGGTAGAGCTGGGGACAGTCTAGTAGCTTCCCCGTGGTCCCTCAGGTTACCTTCCAGCTACACCTCTCTTTAGAATTCTCAGGCCAGCATTGGTATTTAAAGCAATTACCCAAGTGTTGTCTCCCCAGGGGGGCAATTTGCCTTCCAATCTCAATAAGTTCCCTTAATTCCCCATCCAGGTGGGGCACACCCTGGGGAACTGTATTGCTGTCAGTGTCTGGATGGAAATTTCTGCACAGCCCAATCCTAGATGCTGTCTTTCTGGTTCTATGGAAATTTTCAGAGCTTTCTTTCTTCTGACCCGTACTGACCAGGGTCCTTAGGATCTGGAGGCTCACTGCAGGACCCTCACAGAGCAAGAAGCCATGACTTAACCCCTGACTCCAGAAAGGACTCTGAGGTTTATATATATTAGGGAAGCTGTCCCTCCCAAGTCTCATGAGGCCATAGGGTCTGGCGGACTGGAGTTTGGGGAGGGGGCCCAATTCAAACGTGTTTTGCTTGGCTTTGGGAGTATGATGGGTCATGCACCCACCCCTGAACCCATGTACCTCCTCCTATACACACGCACTCGATGGTGGGGTGTGCCGTGGCCTACCCAGGTTCAGAAACAAAACCTCATGCTGGGTAAATTAGCTACACCTGAGTAGACAAATGCCCGATCTGACGTCAAAGGCCCCTTCCCACCTTGCCAGGTGTTTTGGAACTGCCCAAGAGGGTCCTGTTCACGGAGGGCCATCCAGGAAGGAAAGCAAACAAAGGGAATGGGAGGGGTCCAACTGGCCCCCACATTCCAGGGAGAGGTGGGGGTGGTGTGCACAGCAGCTCAGCTCCCCGCATGGGGGCCTGTCCTTAGTGTCCAAGTTCAGGGCTGCGCCGTCTCATAGTTTCCTTGTCCCCTGCTGGCTGGTCTGGCTCAGCCCTGGACACCTGTCCCTTGCCTTCTTGCTCTGGCTTCTCCTAATGGCTCCTGAACTTTCTGTGATGAGCTCACTCCAGCTACCTAAACATCCACCCATCCCAGACACGACAGGGAGATACCACCCGTGAGCAATTTGAAAAGACAGCAGATGATTACTCCTTAAGGAGCCATTTGGGAAGTTTGTGCATGTTCCATGAGCCAAAAGGAACTTGGCTCTTCCAAGTATAATGAATATCTGTCACACACACTTGACTTAGCATGCGGCAGTAAGGTGCTGTCCCAGAAAACAGAAGGCCAAGATGGGACCTTGTCCCCAACTGGTCCTACCGAAGGCTGGAGCTCAGATACCAAGGGCTCTTTAGGAGATCGGTTTGTGCCTACAGACTCTGGCTTTGCTTTGTCAGAATTCACTGCAGAATACAGTTTTCTTCCCAGTGCTTGTGGCTTCCTACAACTCTACATTTCCAGGCTTGTCAAGGGAGGAGACCTGCACTGACCACCAGGGGCTAAACTCGGGCAGGTCAGATTCCTTCAGGGAAAAGAGTCCAAGTCTTTGCAGAATATATGTGAGATGGAGCTAGAAGTTCTGCAAGGAGCTGCTTTTTTGCTTCGTTCTACTCCAGCAGCCAGTGCAGCCATAGGGGGTGGTGAGGCCTCCTCCTTACCAGTTCACAAAGGGTTAAAAAAGACTTGCCACTCTCCCCCTAACCCCCTCCTTGGGGTCTTGGAATTTCTAATTCCACTTGGGGTAGAAAGGTTCCCTGTGGATTCTTCTATCTTCTCTGAATGGCTAGAGGCAGGAAAACCCAGGCAAGTCAAAGAACCTCACATAAAATGGGATTGTCTTTAAAGTTGCCGAGTGAGACTGTGGTTTATTGAGTAGAAATCATGCCCACACTGAAACTGCCAGCCCCCACCTGATTTTACATTATAGCTGTCCCCAGGCCCTCACAACCTTTATGACCCAAGACAACAAAGCTCAGACTCTCATGCGAAGCACAGACAAACTGGGGCACTCCGGTGTGATGGGACCACAGAGGCAGGCCAGAAAGACAGAGTTTCTCAGAGGGTTGACCGGAAGAAGAACCGCTCCCAGAAGGGAGAGTGATGGGAAGGAGAAGCTGCAAGCCAAGGCCCAGTCAAATGAGGTTGTTGCCCTGCTTGTGTCCACACAAGCAGCCATGTTGAGCATTTGGGTAGTGAGCACATGGCTAACTGGGTAAGCTCTAGGAAGAGCTGTAAAGGCACTAAAGGTATATTTTTGGTACAGACAGTCTTTATGTTCTTATCTTTTTACCACATCAGTGATAGCTCCTCCTTACTACTCTGCAGGAACTCAGGGCTATAGAGTCACAGAGGATTGGCGTTGGAAAAGAGAGGCTGCAGGGATTGTCTCATCTAGTTGTCCACCCAAAGCAAGGGTCCCCAACCAGTCTCCAGGCCCTGCTCCTGCTCTATCACAGCAGGAAACCCAGAGCTTCATAGGACACCATTTCTCACGTAACTTCTATTGTTACAAAGCACCCCTTTGTAAAACAGTGTGGCAGTGGGGCACATACTTTGGTAGTATGTTTTTCAAACAGTGGGGTCTCTCACCATTATTATGAGGATAGTCCCTATCAGGGATCTGTAGACTACAGCTTGTTTAATAAAGTTTTATTGGGACCATAGCCTTGCTCATTTATTTACATATTGTCTACGGCTGCTTCTACGCTACAGTGACGGAGTTGAGACTTTGCAAAAGAGACTGCATGGCTTCCAGAGCTGAAAATATTTACTCTCTGGCCCTTTAACAAAAGAAAATTTGCAGACCCCCTGATCTATACATTGTAAAAGACTGAACGCAAGCTGTTGACTTATAATTTGGGAAGCCAAATTAGAAAATTCACAGATAAAATTATCTGTCCTTCTATAGTCAGAGCTAACCATTTGAGTATCATAGACCTCATAAAGCCTCCAGCACCCACACGCTAATAAAAAAAATGAAGTAAATTTACTAAGCTTTTCACATGCTGATCTCAGGCACTTTCCTTAACCTAAATCTCTGCTCAGAGTTACTGGTTTGATTTAAACCAAGAAATGCTTATCCTCCATGAGAAAGTCATATACAGGATTCTAATGTGAGAATTCCTCTCTGCTGTGGAATCTCACCTTGCCCTTTACTAAGACCACTGAATGTTCCAGACTACTTATTTATACACTTCTAGTGCCCTCGTTGTCCCTGTTTTAATTTTAAAACTCCATCAGTGTGAAACTCCTCTCTTCTGAAATTAGGGTCCATTGGCCACCAGCTTGGCCACTGGGTCACCTTCACTTCCTAGCATGCATGTCCCGGGACTTCCATCCATGCCATGTTAGCCCAGGAACCACTCAGCAAGTTCAATTTTCTGGAATCTATTATTTAGTTGAACATGCCAAAAAGATCATCTCTGAATTATCTTCCCAAAAGGCTGAATAGTGTTTTTGCTTTAAGTCAACAACACTTAAACCACACTCCTTCCTTCTATCTCATCACCAGCTTCCTTTAATGTTACACGATGGATAGTTCCAGAGGTTTGGGCAGAGGGAGAAAAATTAGCTTTAGACACAAGGAGTTACAGGTGTGTTTGGGTCTCTACAGGTGCAAGGAGAAGCAAAGAAGGTGAGTGCTGTGGCCGATCGACCCAGAGTGCAGAAAGCAGGGGGCAGACACCGGGTCCAGGCAAAGAGCACTGCTGCCTGGAACTTGGCTAGTCACCGCTGGGGGACTTCTCTTCTTCACTGCTTTTCACTGTCAGGTAGTAGAGGCGGTTGGCCTCCGGGTAGGTGACTTTGCTGAGCGGGAGCTTGTAGATGGCGGGGTTGTTGGTTCTCAGGAGCAGGAAGGTGAGGGTGGCAAAGCAGAAGGCCCAGGTGCCTGGCGGCACACCAACCTGGAAGGAAAAACACCGGGGTCTGAAGAATGTTCCTAGGCTCCTGTGCTGGACCAGGGACCATGGGGAAGAAGGATGTGATGGGGTTGAGGGTGGAGATTCTCCCCCAGTGAAGGCATTGGTGTTCTTGGATTCAGAACGTCAGAGTAGTTGCTCAAGGAATTTGAGGAGTTGGTACTTTGGGACACAATCAGAATCTTTCAATGATGGAGCTTAAAATTGAGTTGAGGATGGTTTCAGCCACACGGCTCCATCTGTCTGTGTTTTCCACTGCTAGTTACATGGTGATCTCTTTCTTTCAACACACACACACCCACACCCACACCCATACACAGACACAGACACACACACACGCACCCTAGAGGCACCTGTAAGCAATTGCCAATCCTTCCCTGGACAAACCCTAGATAAATGTCAGCAGGGGCGTTGTGTGAGAACCAACTACCATAACCCACTCAGGATTCTTCCATGGGACCCCAACTGCCTGGAAGCTGTGGCTGGGGAAGACACCTGGGCCAGCGTTCAGGAGAATACAGACTTACCACCGACATGATGTTGGAGATGGCTGCTCCCATGTACGCACAGAACAGGGCTGTGGGGGAACAAGGATGTTCAGAGTCGGCTTCCCAGAGCCTGCCCCTCACCCTGCCCCAGCCCCTGCTGTAGCAGAACAGGGGCCCAGACCAACAGAGGGGACCTGCCTTCTCTCCCGCAGCCTCAGTGTCTGCGCCACGCCTGACGTTGGGCACTACGAATTATCTCTGCATTCTCTGGAGGCAGAGATGAAAGCTCATATATCCTTTTATCCCTTCCTCACTTCCGTGGTGGCCTTGCATACAGTCAGGGGTCAAAGTCGTGTTTTGCTCGTCCACACTGGCGTTAGGGTGGGCTAGCACAGCTGGGTGAGGGAGAGGGGTCAGACCTTATGAGCTCCCACTAAGGTCCCTCCTGTACACGATTCTGAGTGGCTGTGATGCTGTTTGACGCTCACCGAGTCTCATCAGGGCTGAACCTTATTGGATCCCAGAGCCAGGCAGGGGGTTCCCCGAGGGAGCTGGGCCCCAGGGACAGTCGGCCAAGCTGGTCCGCACCGCTGGTGCCTCTGGACAGGCTCCGTCTGTGCTGCACCTTCACTCATTGTCCTGCTCTGTCCAGAACACCTTTTCCCTCTCTCTTTGCCAACCCAGATCCTTACCTGGAAGGGCTGAGATAAACCCCAGCCTCCCCCCGCTCCCCCATAGCCTTCCCACTTGGTTCCAGCCACTGGAATCTACCGCTTCTCTGAAGGCCAAAGGAAGTCAGTTTGAACTTCAAAATACCCAGCACTTTTGACTTGACAAACATTTTCTGGGTCCGCTGTCTCTGTGCCCAGCCCCTCCCTGGCTTCTGAGGGCATACAAGGGGGACGTGGAAGCCATTCACAGTCCCCACGTGGAAGTAGGAGAAACAGAAGAAAAGCTGATCTGGATGCTCTTCTGCCTTTTCCTTGTCTCTGGTTTTATCACTAAAGTCCTGTTCTGCTGTTTCCAGAGAGTGTAGCAACGCCAACAGGGGAAGGCTTGGGGGAGATGGGGCCGGGGGCGACCCTCCCTTTTGCCATTAGGAGCTGTGCTCCAGGGCAGGCAAATCGGCCTCCTCCTTAGTCCCATTTCCTTATCTGCAGAACGGGCCTGATCAGCGATGCCTGTGGTATTCTTGGGAGGATTAAGCGAGTTCACGCCTTTATATAACACAGCGTGGTGCTGGGGGCAGGTCTACAGTAAGGACTGTGGCCAACTTCCCTCCACACAGTGCATTCTCCATTCCCTCTCCAGAAATGGAGCTTCCATACTGCTAGGTTACGATTTTCAGTGCTCCCAGGTTCATCATCTCATTGGGTCCTTTCAACGATTTTTGCAGGCATCACAGCTTTAATCATTATTTGTGCAATTCTCTTTGGCTAGACTGTGGCTTCATGAGGATGTGGTCACCATGGAATCTGCCATGCCCAGCCTAGGCCCTGGCTCTTACGTGGCACTCTATAAACAGTTGTTGAGTGAAGAGTTACAGGGTGCAGGAATGCTGCCATTGGCATACGAAGAAATGCACATGTGATTGCCTTGTAAACTTCATGACATTGTGTAAGTGTAACAGCATAAGGTGATTGTGACTGTGTTTGACAGAGGAGGAATCTCAGATCTGCAGCTGTGAAAGGCATCCCTGGCATGAGGACCTGAGCCGCTGGCCTTCCTGTCCCTCTGTTCAGTACAGATGAGTGGTCACCATGGGGTCCACGTGACCAAGGGGGTAAAGGAATAGCCAGGGTGACCTGGTGGTTGGTTTCCCAAATACTTACCGCAGACGAGGGCCAGCAGGTGCGTCTGCCAGGTGAGGGCGTAGAACATGCCCCCGATGGCGATGCAGGAGAGGACGCAGTTGTAGCTCCCGAGGCCCATGTACACCGTCTCAAAGGGCGTGGCCACCGTCAGGGCTGTGGGACAAGGCACGGTTTCTCTAGCTCGTTCTGGGTCACAGAACAAAGGCTGGGGCGCCAGCTCTCAGGGTGGCCTCCTGCTGTTCTCCCCACACCTTCAACCCTGCCCAGCAAAGGAGCCTAAACAAATGGCAGCTGGTCTCAGGAAACCAGCAATGAGAAGAGGGTGGTGGTTTCCAAACCATTCTTCAAAATCATAGGTTTCACAAAGAGGAATGACCACTTCCTCCCGGGTGAGAAGGGGCCAAGGAGGTGGGACTCAGGCCCTTCCCTACCAATCTGGCAAGAGCAACTGCATTTTTAGCAAGAAAGATTTCAACTTAGAAAAGTTCTGTTTCACATAGCTCAGAAAAATTATGAATGTACCCATATAGATATACACGTTGATAGAGGAATGATATGGCAAAAGGGAGGAGATGTGAATACTAGGAGAATCTGGGTAAAGAATTTATGGGTGCCTCTTCTATTACTTTTATTTTTATAATATTTTGATGAGCTTGAAATGATTTCCAAATAAAAAAATATTTTTAAGGTTCTGTTTCCAAAAAGTCTTTGAGAAACATTGAAAGAAGTCAAAACTGGCTCCTACTCCCAGTGACCAATTTCTTACTCTGTGTTGGAAAGAGCATACACATTTGTGAAGGTATGTACGTACATATCCGCATGTGCAGAAATATTAAATTATATTTGTCAAATGGCAATCTAATTTTTGAGAAAACTTTTCCTTTTAGCTTCCCCCAAATGTCAAAGTGCTGGGCCATTTATGCTCCAGCTTGGTCTTGGCTACTGCCCCTGTCCATGACCCTGTGCCCCTCCTCTGCCCTCAGCTCCAGGGCTCAGTGTGTGCCCATCTTGATCTTCAGTCCACTTGGACCTCTCCGCAGGTCCTGCGACAGCAATCTGCTCCTTTTGGGGACTCAAGAAAGGGAAAACGAAATCCCTATCCCTGACAGTGTTTTAAAACTCCAGTGAAGAGAGTAAGTCTAGAATACTTGCTGCGTGCAGGGGGGAAATGACCTCAAGAAAGTTATCCCAGGGGTGTCGCTGCAGAGAGACGGTTCCGTCCTACCTGCCAGCATCCCCACGATTGAGCCAATGGCTGCGTGCAAGCAGATGAGTGGCGAGCAGATGAACAGAGCCACCAGGAACATGCCGCCCGTCCAGGGATTGTCACAGCCGTACACCTGGCCGACCCCGATGGGGATGGCTTGTAACAGCTGCAAAATCAAGAGAACACAGGTCACTGGGGTGTAAACAATAACGCAAAGACCGGGCCTCAGGGCCAGATGTGAGCCATTCCTGGCTGCCTAATGGGGCGGAACGGGGGAATGACCGTGTCCTGCAGCGTGTGCGAGAACACGGGAGGCACGAGCTGGAACAAATGGCTCCTCGCTCCACCAGCTAGCAGGCATCTGAGCACCCCTCATGCAAAGCCGGGGCCCCAACACGGGGACTGGGCATGGAGGAACATAGGGCTTCTGCTTTGAGAGCAGAAGCTGTGAAATCCTAGAAATATTTAGGTATGCCCTAAAGAGCTTTGTCCTCAAAGAGGTCATATGACCTGGTCACGGAGAAAAGAACTATAGAATTTTAAACCTGGAGGATCACCTACCAGGACAGCCTCTTTGTGTCACAGAGGAGGATGCCATAGCCCGGAATGAGGACGTGGTGTGCCCGTGATCACACGATGACCTGGTGCAGAGCCCCCTGGAAACTGGAGCTCTCCACTAGAGCCCAGGGCTCTGCCCACCCTCCCACTCTCCCTCCTTTCCTTTTGCCCTCAAAGGACTGCAAAAATAGGGACAATTCAGCCTGGCCAGAGAAAGGCCATTGACATCACTACCAGATGAATTGTCCCCAAACAAACACCACCAAGCTCCCCTCAGGCTCAGGGATGTTTAGGCTTTGGGCCATTCTCCAGATGGCCACATACTATTAATATCTTTCTGCAAAACTGAGTGCCCTTTGAGAGTAGGGGAGATGCTTCTCCTCCTTTCTCGGGGCCCACAACCTCCAGGGCAGCACTGAACAGGCAGCAGCCACCAAAGAGGATGTGTCAACGATGGCTTGATGGAGAGATGGTGAGGGTGGCAAAGACTTTAGACTTTAGAGGTCAAACTCAGAGGCTGTAGCCTTTACTTGCTACCAACAGGATGGGTAACCTTTGGTCAAATCATTGACTAAAATGGTCTAGATTAGTTCCAATATTTCTAGAATGTTTCTAAGATTTCAGAGGGTCTAGAAGAAATCCCTTAAGCCCTGAAACATCCAATAACAGTCTAGGGAGGAGGCACATTCTGGTCCCCTCAAAGCTTTTGCTCTCAAAGCAGAAGCCATGTTTCTCAGAAGCATCCTCACCCAGCCCCTATGTGCGGGGGCCCTGGCTTTGCAGAATAAGCATATAATAGGTGCTTAATTAATAGGTAGTGGTTAGCTCAGGGGTTCCCAAACTTTGCTGTGCATTGGAACCTCCAGGGATCTTTAAACAAAGACTGATGCCAGGCCCTTCCCTAGACACTCTGATTTAGTTGGTATGGGCGTGACTGGGGCCTCAGGGGAGTCTCATGTGCAACAGAGACCAGTTATAGACTATCCACTGCAGATCCTGGGAGTAATTGTGTTTCTCCCTTTGGAAGAAATTTTTTTACTTTGTAACAATTTGATTTAATTTTGGAATCAGTGTGATTTCTTTAGGGAATAGCATCCAGGAGTCCCAGATAGCTTTTAAGCTTTGCCCACCTTTGTCTTGGAGTGGGTGGCCATTGTCTTTGAATGGGTGGCCAAACGCTGTTTGGATCAGAGCCTGTAAACTTGTGAAAGGAATGGCAGGGTGGGTCCTGATCATATTTATAGGAACCCAGAAAAACACTTTGTACCAGAGCAGAGAGCTCAGCTGAAATGCTGGGAACAGGCCGGAAGTCTACTCAGTGAGACCCCATGACTTGCTAACACCTGAGGAATGCGGGATGCTGCGGGGAGTCCAACTTCTACCTTTCCATCTGGGAGCTCGGATTTTAAGCCCAAGCAGTCAAGAATGAGAGGAATGAGGGAGCAAGTGGCCTTGGAAAGGAGCCTGGGTTTAGAATGAAGCTTGCTCTGCCAGGATCCGTATTTCAGCAGGGTGGGCTGTGCTCCCGCGTGGCCTGCCCTCTCTGCACGCTGCTCCCCAGGCCACAGCTGCCACCTGCGGTGAAGGGCACTCAGGTGTGCTGTGGAAATTTACTGAGCACCCGGCCTCCTCTGCACTCCTTGTGATTCTCACGTAACAACAACAAGCTGGTTAAACAAAAAAGGATGTCCTTTCCCCTTCTTGTTTCCCAGCAAAAGAGGGAAATGGCATTCATTCTTCAAAACTCAGATCTGGGTTGTGTGGAAGAGAAGGACACTGGTTGTCAGAGTGGTGGGCTGGGGGGAGTTAATAGGCTGATCTCGGGCCTCAGGATACCTGGGTTTGGGTCCTACTACTTTTCAATTGTTTAGTTTGAAGATGAACAGGGGGCATCTCTTCTCTGTGACCCACGCCACACTGGTCCCCTCAGTGCTGGGTTGTCCAGCCCAGCAGAGTGAGATGGGGAGCCCAGGGGTCTTTCTTCCAGGTGGTGCCACATGTGGACAACTTACCAAGGGCATCTCAATCTCGGTCCAGGTGATATTGGGCACTGAAGACACAGGCTCCACCAGGGTTGTGGGGAAGAAGAGGTTGTAGTGGCCCGTGGCTGCCAGGTACAGGGTCACGGCGATGTTGAAAGGCAGTGTGAAGACTGGGAGGTCCCACTTGCTGAAGATGGAATTCAAGGCACTAGAAAGAACTGGGCTGAAGAAGGAAGAGACACAGGGTTAGTCACTGTGACCATCCTTAGGTCTACACAGTCTCATCAGCTCTGGCCAGTGTGCCATCCCCTGTCCCCTCCCCTGGGCACAGCATTCCTGGCTCCCTCGAGACTCTGGTGGTCCATTGATCCGAGAAGGGGAATAAAGTGTTCAACTTAAGCTTACACCTTTGAGAAATAAATTTCAAAAATAACATAACTTATTTTGAATAAAATATTTTATGCAATAATCTAGATACTTCATTATTTCTTAAGCTGAGAAAACTAGACAAAATGTGATCTTTGCAAAATGTAATGTATTGGCTTTGGATCATAAAGATGTTCAATGACTACTGTCCAGGGTTATGATAACATTTTGGAAGTCCAGCCTTCTAGGAGGAGGCTGTTATGGCATGTAGGTAATTTGTGGGCTTGGAGCCACCAAAAATACTAGAGCTACTGTGGGAACTGCCAGAGGAAAATGGAACCTTCTGCTGATTGTATCCTCTGTCTTCTTGGTCTCTTTCTTGGAAAGAGAATGGATTTTGGAGACAGATGGAGCTGAGTGCAAATCCTAACTCATGCATCTACGTATAGGCTGAGTGAGACATGTTAGGTAACTCATCTCACTTAGCGTCCATGTCCTCTGGAGGGGATTAGCCACCCTGGACACCCCATACCCAGGTCTCCCACATGCATTAAGCTGCTGGACAAAGGTGCAATCATGCGATCCAGTTCAATGGTCTCCCTTTGACCAGTGACCATGAATCTCAAATGGTCATTTAAGACCACCTGAAGGCCCTCCTACACATCATCCCTCCCAAATGAACTCTCCACCTCGCTGAGATGAGTATTTCACATTCTCACCTTTCTCCTCAAATCTTAACTATCTGCCTCCCTTTCATCTCAGCCAACCACCTGGCTGTACTTCATTAAGGACATAGAACTGACAAGATGCAAAATGCTTTGTTTTCCCAGCTGTAAAATCCATGCTCCATCTTCCATGTTCCACCACATCCTGCCTCTCCACCTCTTTTGGAGAGTGGCAGTGACTCTGCTCCTTCCCCAGGATGGTTCTTCCCCCTACATTCTGGAACCATCTGACCGAAGGACCTCACTCCTGCAACGTTCTCCTCTCTCCCCTGCAGGTTTAGTGCCTTCTCTGTCTCCAGACCATTCTCATCAGTATGTAACATGCTCTGATATCTTCTACCTTCAAGCAACCTCCCCTTTAGCCTGATGTCCACTCCAGTGGTGGCCCCATTTCTTGCTCCCCTTCACAGCAATGCCCCTCAAAAGGGCTAGCTTTGTCTGTTACCCCCAGCCTTAATCTCTCTTATGCCCACTCCAATCAGGTGTGGCCTCACTATGCCACGGAAATGGCTCTTGGCCAGTTCGCCAATGATATCTATCTCTCCAGATCCACCGTCCTTCCCTGTCCTTTTCCTTTGACAGTGGGAACAACCACCCTTTTGGACTATTTTCTGACTGTGCTATCTTGACACTGGACTTTCTTAGCTTTCTTCTTGACTTCTTCTTAGTTTCCTTTGGTGATTTTTGCCTTCTTTTGCCAGTTACCTAAATGCTAGATGATCCTGTGGCTCTGTCTTTGTTCTTCCCTTTCCTGCTCTTTTTAAATCTTCTCCTTTGGGTGGTACCCTTGAGTCCCATGGATGAAAGCTTCTCTGTACTTCTACCTTCCAAAGCTCGACCATATCACTGTGTTCCAGATTCGTACATCCGGTTACCTTCTCAATATCCCTACTTGGAAGTCCAAAGTAGAATGTGTCCAAATGGAACTCCTGATTTGTGTCTCATACCACCAACCTGGTAGGGTGGTAGGGTGTCCCCTACCACCAACCTGTTTTTCTCTAAATCTTCTCTGTCAACCCAGGTACTCAGACAAATTATGGGAGTGTATTGGATTTCCCCCCCTTTTTCTCTTTCACACTCCACAGCCTCCCCACAAGTCCCGTTGCCTCTATCTTCCTTAAGATACACTCCAGACCCACTCACTTGTTGCCATATTCATGGATCTCACCCTAGTCCAAACACTGAGTTTTTGTAGCAGACAATTATGGGCTATTATAGCAGATGCTTCCAGCTATCTACTCTTGCTCCAGTTAAAACCTATACTTCATGCTGCAAGTAGGGTGATTTATTTACATTTAAACCATATCCCATGATTCCTCTTCTTAAAACCATCTACCTGCTTCCCATCTCAGCTGTCATGGAAATCAAAGGGCTTACTTTGCGTGGGGATGTGCGTGGATATGCGTGGTCTGGCTCTGTCACCTTTTTGCCCTCACCTGCCACTCCTCTGCCCTTCACTGGTCTCCCCCTCACTGGTCTTGTCTCTGCTTCTGGAACACACCACACCTCTGCAGTGGGGGTCTTTGCACACACCGCTGCTTCTGCCTGTAGCATCCTTTACCCATCTTTGGAGGGCAGATGCCTTCTTGTCATTCCAGTGATGGCTCAAACATCCCCTCTGCAGAGTGGCCTTCTCTGACCGCCCATGTCTGGAGTCACTCTCTGTCCCATGGACCCTGTTTTGCTTTCCCCAAAGCACTTATCACATCTTGAAGTGATCTCTTTTATTAACTAGTTTATGCGTTTACTTGTATCTTTGCCAAGAAGAATGTAAGCTCTAAGAGGATAGCGAATTTTCCTTGTTTACAACTAACCCCAGCATCTAAGATAGTCCTTGCACTCAACACATAGTTCCAGGCACTCAGCAAATACTCGTTTATTGGATAAATCCGGAAAATGGCACTGCTCTAATAATACCTACCCTATGGGTTGAATTACAAGGGCTACATAAATGGATTAATGAACGTACTGAAGAAGTAGCACATGGCCCAGCTCAGCTCAGGCTGGGTTGCTTAGTGGTTTTTGTCTTTCAAATTGGGAAGGTGGAGTGGGGGGTACTGAAGTCTAATTGCCACCCAGCGCAGCGTGGCTGTGGAGCTGTGCTGAGGGGCCTCATCTCTGTCGCTATAAACCAAATGTATGCAAATGAAGACAAGCTCTTCTTTTTACACGGGGGCAGGTGGGGGGCATTAGGAACATCCCGACAGAAGACAGAAATGACTGCCGTAGCTTTTTGTCCCAGTGGATTAAGAAAGAAGCCCTAAGAAGAAAAATAAATTGCCCAGAATGCTTAATGTAGTACTTTATTTGCAAGCACTACTAAAAAGTAATGAAACAGTACTTAAGCTAAATTAAACTAACTGGTTTTAGGCACTCCAGACTTTGAAACCAAAGAGAGACATTTAGTGTTTAGAGATGTTAAAAATAAATCACCACGTCTGATTTATCGCTGAGAGTGGGAATAAGTCACCACGTCTGAACAGAATGGGGGAACAGGGTGGTACAGACATGCGAAGTCAGGCGGTAGGGGACAGGGGTTGCCCGTGACAGTGAGGACTCTCCTGAGACCCCGAGACACCCGGCAGACCTGCCATAAACTCAAGGGAGCCGAGGATCCTACGTGTAAATGGCCCAGCGCACTCTGCACTTGCTGAATACTGTTCCAAACTTCCTTTCATCTCGACCTTTTTATTTCATCTGCAATATGAGGCGATTGCACAGCGAGATCTCAACTGGTACTTCCAGTTCAGAGAGTCTGCGCTTTACATATATAAACATTCTGTTTCAAGAGAGCTCTCTGCTTTTTATCACAAGTGAGTTTTCGGCGTCTAGGACTTGGTTAGGCCACATAATAGGCGATTCCCATGCCACGTGGAGTGTAAGCTGCAGACTTGGGCCTCAGAATGTCAGCATCAGACACTGTCACAGAGTGGGACCTGGGGCGAGTGACGGTCTCTGTATGCCTTGGTCTTTCCTTCTGCAAATCGTGTGCAAACGTAACCCTACTCGGCACTGCCTACGTCCTGCTTAGCACGGTGCCTGGCGTGCAGGAACAACTCCACAAACGTTGGCCTTTGCCATTACGCCTGTCATTCAGGGAAGCTTATCAGCACAACAAAAGCCATGCGATCTGCCTCTGCCGCTGCTTTAAAGAATCCCTGTCACCCCGTATCCCCAAACCACCCCCTTGTGTGGCAACAGAGCTCACAGCTTTGTTTCCACGGTGTCTTCTAGACAAACCAGCTCGGCTGTGAGACACCAGCCCCCCCATGTGCACATCCTGTCCCCGTCCAGTGTGAGACACAAGCACCGCGGGGCCCTGAGGATCTGTGAGCAGACAGGATGAGGCTCCTCACCAGGCCATGGCTGTGAAGGTCACGGGTAACAGAAGCCACCAGTAGTAGTCCAGCTTCTCCGAGAACACGGCCACCAGCAGCCCCACCAGCATCCCGTTGTACCCGTGCAGTCCTGAGGCGATGGCGGACCTGGGGGTGAGGCAGAGTTACTTTGCACTTGAACTTGGAGGTGCCCCTCCCTCCTGGTGCTCTGAGGATTTGCTTAATTTAGATGATTCCTTTAATAACGAGGCATAGAAAAAGTCAGTTCCCTCAATGAATATCAGGCAGCCACACGGCTGCCGACACCTTTCTAGACGACAACACACACTCACACACACACGCCCGCACATACACGTGCACACGCCTACGCATACACACACTCCTGTCGTGCTGATCTAGAGTTAAAATTATGCACCTCTGTGGTGCATAATATCTGTGGCTAAGTTCCCCTTTGCTTTGCAGGGGAGTTTCAGGCTGCTAAGTGTAGAGGGAAATCTAATAGAAACCTGGGGTGTGGGATGGTCATGCTGGAAACTCAGACTTGTGGAGGGAGGGGGGGAATGGGCATTTATTGAAACCTTAAAATCTGTGCCCCCATAATATGCCGAAATAAAAAAAAAACCTGGGGTGCGGAGGTGTGACACAGGGAAGTTGTGTGTGCACATGTGTGTGCACGTGTGTGCATGTGTGTGTGTGTGTGTGTGAAGGGGGGAGAGTTCTGACTGCAGCGTGTAACATTCTCTGCGATCGGAGTTTGGCTGCTCTCCCCTGCTGCGTGTCTGCACCAGGCGGATCAGCTGGTTCAGCCTCGGGTGCCCACGTGCCCTCTCAGTGCGGAGCGGCCCGGAAGTGGGGTAGAGTCCGTGTGTGAGGCTAGGGTCTCTTTCCGTTTCGGAGGAGAAGCCTGTGTGCACCTGAGCTTCTCCCCCAATCCTGCTGAGCGCTGTCCTCCACCTTTCCAACAGCTCTGCAGGTGGAGAGGTGGGGGAGTGGGTGAGGGAGGGCCCTGAGCAGGTCACACTGCGAGACCCCTACCAGCGCTGCCTGCTGTGGCCTGTCCCCCTCCTGTCTCAGTGCCATGAGGGCTGGAGCCCTTTTGAGTGCCCACTGCTGTGCCCCAGTGCCCAACACCATCAACAGTGTCTGGTGCACTGGCATTCAGCCAGTGTTTGTTGAATGAATGTGTGTGTATATGTCAAGCCTTATCATGTACTGGCTGCCCTTCTTGTATGGCAGGAAAGGGGAGGCTGACTAGAGGAGGACTCCTGCCCAGCAGAGGCCCTGGCTTCGGTGTGGAAGGGGGAGGCCCGCTGACCTAGTACGGTACTAGGGTGTAGGCTATGGCTGTTCGGAGAGAAAGAAGGGCTTGAAGCATACAAGGCAATCAGGGGTGGCTCCCTGGAGGAGGAGGGATTGAAGGAATGGTGGGATTAGACAGGCAGAGGTATAGCAAGTGTCAGGAACTGCAGGGGCAAAAGTACTTAATTGGGGACAAATGTGATGCTGCGTGAGTGCTGGGTAGTGTGGGGCCCATCAGAGAATGGTTTGGAAGCTGTGCTGAGGGGTTGGGTCTTTAACTGATGCATATTTGTCTTAAATTCTTGATCAGCGTGATTGGGAGGAGTAGGCGGGCCTGGTGTGTCTCCCTGGTAAAATGGAAGTCTGTCAATGACCCTTTGAATGGCGTGGCAGGCTTAGCAGCAGGTTTATAGTGGGGAGGGAAGTCAAAGCGTCAGCCTGTCATCATGGGAAGGGACTAGGGTGACAGATGGCACAGAAGAGCATGACAGGGCGGGGTGGGGAGGTGCTGGCTGGAGGTCACGCAGCCGAGAAGGTGGTGGTGGGCTGGACATGGTTCACCCAGGTGAGTTTTAGCAAACAGTGATGAAGCAGTAAGACTTGAGTTGATCCTGTTGGCTGCCCAGTCCCATGCCAGCAGCCTGTGAGATGACAGGTAAGTGGACACAAGGAACAGGGAACCCACTGGTCGAACCAGACACAAAAATCCTGGCTGGAGCCGTCTTTCATCTCATCCACCAGAACTGCTCGCAGAAGAATTCAGCCTCTCATCGATCCGACCTCCAGCGGCCGCCCGGCTTGCTGGGATCAGAGGGGTCCCCAGGGCCACCTTAGATGGGCAAGAGCAGCTTCTCACCAGGGCCAAGCTGACTCATGCCTCTGCCTCCGTGGCTTCAACACAACCGGCTCTGATTACTCCCGCTGTCTTGGGCTCACCAAGAGGCCTCTGGCCACATTGTCCCCCCGTGCAGGTGCTGTGATGGGGACAGCATGGCCTCGAGCACAGAAGATAGGGACCACGCATCTGAGCCTGAGTCTTGCCACCCACTGGCTGTGGCACCTTCAGAGAGCACCTGTCCCCTCCCGGCCTCCTTTCCCTCATTGCAGGATGCGAGCTCTGCTGCCTCGTGAAGTCGGGCAGGATCACATGTAACAGGGTGCAGCAGCAGACTCCCGTCTTTTCCAGAGAATCCCACTGTAAGGACTTCATTTTATTAAACAGCTGAAGACTTAGTTCTCTCTCTCTCTCTCACACACATACACATCAACATAAATGAAACAGAAATTTCCCAAACTAATATTTACCTTGACTACATATGGATTACTCTCATTGGTTTTATTTATTTTGTTGTTTCAACTTTTTAAAGTGCTGTGGACAATTAATTAATGATGTGCAAATGGGTTGGAGATCCCCAAATTTAAAAACATGAAGATAAGGGCTAATGCAGTGTTTCTCCAACTCCTCTGCCCATCAGAAGCACCTGTGGGGATGTTGTTGAAAACATCCCCTCCCAGACCCCCTGAGCTGGAATCTCTGCAGGAGGAAGGGGGAGGGGGTGGGGATGAAGCTGAATTTTCTAATGATCATCCCATGTGACTCTGACCATCGGGAAAGTTCAGGATCCACTGGAATAATACAAGGCGAAGTCTGAGGAAATGGTCGAGTTCTACAAAATGCTAGTTGTTATTGCTACTTGACCTTGTTCCTGTCGTGCAGGACTTCAGCACAGCTGGCTCCTCCCCCACACCTGCCCCCTAAGTCCCACTGGCCCCGACTGCTCCCCCTCCTCCCACATTGTCCTCCCGTCTCTTCTGGCCTTCTCTCCCATCCCCTGCCCCATCTTCCCCACACCTGGTGATGTCTGTCTTCTCTGACCCCTCGATTATATGCCATCTTGTATTATGTTGAGACTTATTGCCTATTAGTCTTCTCTCCTCAGTTAGATGGGAGGCTCCACGAGGGGAGGACAGCTTAGGGGTTGCTCTGCACCTCCCTCAGAGGAGTGTTTCCAGAAGGATCTACAGTCAAACGGAGCCTGGTGCTGTGAGGAGGAGCAGTTCAATTCTGCAAGGACGGCCAGTGACCTGCTCAAAGTTGATACCCAGGAGACTTGGTCTGGCTGGTAGGATAAGGTTGGCTGGTCACTCAGGTAAAGACCTCTGCACCTGTGTGCCTGACACATCTTGCCAAGAACCTAGCCCCCCTCCCCGCCGAGAGGGACCCACCTGTCCTGGCTCAAGATGAGGGCAGTTAAGGTTGAGGCCACTGTCCCCAGGCCCCCAGCAATGGTCCACCAGGGGTTCTGGATCAGGAGCCCGATGAAGATGATGAGCCCACTGAGAGGGTTGTTGACAAACATCACCTGCGCGGCCCCCCTCAGGACCCAGTTTGTGAACTGGAGGGCCAGGTGTTTATCTGGAAGAGACAGAGAGCCATCAGCGCGTCCAGCCCGTGCTGCCCTGCTGACCACTGGTTGGCATGGCAACCAAGGCAAACAGGGATGTGCAAGCCAGGACATTTCCCCTCCTTCAGCCTGTGGGGGGGGGTTTGGAGTGGGAAGGGTGTACTGGCACCCAGCCCAAGTCTCCGAGTGGCCCAGCAATCACTCTGCAGTGGGTGGCAGTTTTTGCCATGTAGACAGTGGCGCCATGCTGAGACCAATTTAACGCTGTTCCAGACATCAGCTTGGTTGGCGAGGAAGCCCCAGAAGCATTCCAAGGGAAATTTATTGGTCCACAAGAAGGGGTAGAGAGGGAAGGAAACTCTTTTTTGTAGTGCTGGATGACAGTTGAGGGCTGGTATCTGAGTAGCAGAGAAAGTGGACTAAAGAAAAGAAGCTCGCAAGAAATCGTTATAGCCCAGCTGTGAAAATCAGTATTGAATCAGAGCCTGGAGGAAGCCAGGTGTGGGAGAGGGGACAGATATTCTGCCTCTCTGGTTTCCAGGACAATCTGGGGGGGGGCAGGGGTGCAAGTGGGAGCGGGGAGGGTGCGGTGTTGGTTGCAGCATTTAGTGCGGGAAGAAGTTAAAAGGAAAGAACCCTGAGACTTGGGGAAGGGCGATGCCAATATTTTCTTGGCACATAATAGGTGCATAATAAATGGCTGTGGAACAAGTGAAGGAATGGCCATTCAGCTTGCTTGGGAAATGGCTGACGTGCTGCTAATGGGGAGGTCTTATATCTATTTCACGGAGGCGTGAACAAATTGCAAAGAACTAAAATCAGTGAAATGTGTTGAATTCTGAAACCGTGCTAGTTCCAGGGCAGTAGGGTGACACCCACCAGAGCCAGCCCAGGGCTGCAGCCCCCCAGCTGCGGGAGCCTTCACGGCGCATGTGTGAGGGAGCAGCTTCTTCCATCCAAACTAGAGGGCCGACTGTGCCCCCGGCTTGCAGGCTGCCTCTCCCGGGGCACTTGCCTACCTTCCAGCCAGCTGCTGTACTCCTTCATGTCGCCCGTGAGGTAGCCCACCGCTTGGGAGAGGCTGATGCCGCACTGGCCTGCGGAGCCGGGACGGGCCACGCCACTTTCTCTCCGTTTACTCCTTTCAACGGGCTTTTCGATTTTCACAATGTGGCTGTCTTCATTGGATGACCGGAGATGCTTTTAGGAGAAGCCATACGAGACAAATAACACACCTTTCTGAGAGCAGAGGCATTTGGGGGCAGAGGGGCTGTCAGATTTTTTCATAAAAATGAAGAATCATGAGACAGAATCATGAGACGCCCATTGTCTGATGCTGTGCGGAGTGCCCCGTGCCCCGTGCCCCCTACTGCACGCGCTTCAGGGCAGGGTTTCTTAGCCTTTTGTGTCATGGGTCCCTTTGGGTGGGCTTTTTTTCCAGAATAAAATTTTTAAATGCAAAAATAAAATAAATAGGGTTACAAAACAAACCAATCATACTGAAACGTTGTGGACAAAATACTAAAAAGAAAAAAAACCATGAGCTATGTGTATGTGTGGCAGATCCAGTGTCTATTATAATTTCAAGGAAGTGACGAGTGAACACATGAAACCTCCTCGGCCCAAGTCAGGACGGCTCTGCAGGGCCGTCCCAGCCGTCTGTGTCCCTCTGCACTGTGGCGGTGGCCAGCCAGTCTGCCTCCGTGCTTCTGTGTGTGGAGAACGCCAATGGCCCGCGTGTCAGCAAAGGCCTCGCCATTGGAGACAACAGCGTGACTCGAGGGGGCAGGCTTAAAGGGGAAGATTCTGGAGATGGGTTGGAAGACTGGTGTGTGAGTGAGCGTATTCTCTCCCTGTCCTTGACAAAGTGTCTCACGCAGAGCCACATTTCTTACTGAAGGCCAAGTAAGACCCTTCCTGGCGTCACCGTGTACTGACTGGGGGCCGTCGCACTTCCTCCGTGTAACAAGCCCATCAGGAAGCCGGGAAGGCAGCATCTTCCGTCTTCTCCCGTCCTCCCCTCCCCCTCCCTGGGAGGGCCATTCCTCACCTTTTCTTCAGGCATCTCCAGGAGGGGCAGAGCCGGGTGCGTGTCCTGGGGGCTTGAGGGCCAGCTGGGGCTGGTCAGCTCTGTCTCGTAGAGTTTGTACCTGCTGGAAAGAGGCTCTGGCAGGAGAGGGCTGCTGTGGCTGTCAGACATCTCCTTCAGGGGGTGGCCGCTCATCTATCGGAGCCTGGTGAGCGGGAAAGGGAAAGGACGAGTGAGCCGGGATGGGGCCGGAGGGACGTGGCTGAGGCTGGGCTGAGCCCTCGGGAGCATGAGGTCCGTCCCGGGGTGCAGCAGTGACTCACACAGGACCTCCTGTTCTTGCAGCTTGTGCTGCCACAGGGGCCGGGGCCATTCTTCAACCCATGTGACCCTTACCCTTCCAAATCCTCCCACTCCCCCAAGTCCATTTGTGCTGTGAAGGTTTCCCTGACCACTTTGAAGTCTCTCTTCTTTTTCTGATCACTGAAATATTTTTCCTCCTTTCCTATTGCCCTCTGTACCATCTTATTGTTGTAGTTAGGGGTGCATGGTTTTCCCCTTTGTAAACACACAGATCCGGTGCTGACTGGGGGCTAAGAGTAGCCCCTCTTCTGAATTGCTCTGGAGACTCTATTGCTTGCACTTGACCTCCAGCCCTTCTCTCCCCTCTGTCGTTGGTGCCCTCGGCTGCCTCCCTGTCCTTCCCCAGGAGCATGTGAAGCTCTGGCATGTTCTCCTGGGAGTTGTGTGCGTCCAGGCTGAGGCCCTTCCCTGCCACATGGGTCTTCCCTTCACCACCAGGCCCAGGGCTTATGCTTTTGCAGCGTCCTGTGCCCGAGGTCCCTAGTGTCCTGGTTTTGTTTGGCTGCCACTGCTAGTGCTGGACTCTCTCCTGCCGATTCAGGCAGTTCAGCCCTTCTTTGGCCTCTTCCAATTCAGTTATGTCTTTATTTCCTGTATTGTTTGTTTGACATGTGGCTTTGGAGCTGCACACAGTCTCCTCTCAATGTGGTCTAGAGTTTTCCCTATTGCTCCTCGCTGTGTACCCTGAGTTGCAGGACACTTTCTTGGGAAAGTGGTGGCAGATCCCTAACACGCACGGGTGCTACCATTCTGACACCCACCATGGCAGTCACTGCACAAGGATTGGATTAATAGATTCAGTTGTCTACTTCACACTTGCACATGGATGTTCCAGAAGTAGCTTAAAGTTAATACGCTGAAATGACTCATAATGTTGCCTTCCCAAATCCTGTCCTCCCTCCCAAGCACCCACCCCAGAAAAGTCCTTTCCCCTCCCAGTCTGCTCCTTCAGAAAACTCAGGAGTCAGACTCCTCCTTCTCTCTCTAAATCCAATGACTCTGTCTCTAAAATATACCTTCATGACACTGTCACCAGTTAGCTACCATCACCTCTTGCCACTTCTCCAACGCCTCTCATTTGGACATCCCCACTTTTTCTCAGATTTCTCCTCCAAGTCATGCTCTGCAGGGCAGAGTTACCATACTAACATCCAAATGCACTCCTGTCGGTGGATTAAAACCCTTCAACGATTTCAGATGAAAAAGCACATCTTTAACATGGTACACAAGGCTCGGCGTTTGCTGGGCTCCCCTCATGCTTTAGCTGGTCCTGCAATTCTCTTGCCCTATGACTCTGGGCTCCACACTGACCTCCTTGCAGTGCCTATAGCAGGTGCTGAGCGCTCTTCAGCTCAGGGCCTCTGCTGCTGCTGGTCTAGTGGCCGGAGGGCCTCCCCTGGCTCTCCCCGGTCAGCCCCTACTTGTCCACTGGGCTTCATCTCCATCATCACTTGCTAGAGAAGCCTTCCCAGACCTCGCCCCCTCCAATGTTCTTCTGTCACGTACTCTCATGGGACTCAGTATTTTTCCTTTTAGCATATTTGTATATTTATTTGTATAGTTTCTATCTTTCTACCAGAACTTAAGATTCATGAGGACAGTGACCTCCTCTGTTCTGTCTACTGCTGGATCCTCAGTTCCTAGCACAGTGCCTGGCATGTAGTTGGAGTTCAGTAAATAAATATTTGAGGAAGGAAGGAAGGGACGGAGGGACGGAGGGAGCGAGGGAGGAAGGGATTGTAACCAAAGCTACAGTGACTGCCAGATGGGGAACACTTCCTTGGAGAACTTTACAAATCCCTATGGGTCTCAGGAGTCTCCAGTAGTTTAAGAACAGTGTGGGGTCACCCATCAGCCTTGCATTTGCAGGAGGCAGAACCCCTTGCTGTGTCTAGCACCTGTCTTCACCCAGGAGGAGCTCATTAAGCCACAGCTAATTTTGGGGTGGGTCTGCAAACATCATTCAGGTCCAGCCAACTGTGATACTGCCATTGCTTTAGAACCGGTGCCTTTTTCTCTATTCTGACTCTGTAGGTGGAGTTCCAGTAAGAAGTGGGGACACAACACAAATGGGCATGCTGGAAAGGTTTAGAAGCCTGAAATCCAACAAGCCTGAGAACCTGTCCCTCTCTAGTGCACTTTCTCCCTCTGGTGGCCAAGAGGTGATATAGCATCCCTGGACCATTAGTAAAAATTTCCCTCCAAGCCAACCATATGAAAAAGTAAGTGGGCACAACTGGATATCTAGACACATGGTCTGCATGACACCACACGTGTGGATGAACTAGAAATGTTCTGGAAAGACCTTGTGTTAAATTAAGTGGCTGTGAAATCTATTAAAAGCCTAGCTGAAAAATGATAATGATAAAGGCTTTTATTCTAAACATATTTCATTGGATCCAAGATGTTACCACCGATCAGATATATCATTATTTTATATATCAGCAAAAAAGAAGAAAATGCTGCCAATCATAATTTTAATATGCATTCTGATTTCAAAAATGTTAAAATATGAAAACAATGTAGATCATATAATACAGAAAATATAGTTGTTTTTTCTAAGTAACGGGGCTCAGGTGTATAGGTAGGAATTGAGAATAAATATGTTTAGGAATTATTTTCTATCTACAAAACTTCACACATTTTAATATTTCTTTTGGTTAACAAATGTATATACATTAGGAGCCTTTTAATAACAAGGAATGTTACCTTTTAAATTTCTATATTTGTGTCACCCAGAAGAAAGCCTGACACCTAATAATCCCTTGATAAATGTTTAATGAATTAAGAAATGAATGATTGCACAAGGGGAGGATGCTCTGGGAGTGCTTTCCTAAAAAGTACTTTCTCCAATGCCTTTGAGTGCCTCTGACATGCAGATAACATTCCCATTTACAGAGAAATCAAGGCCTAGAAAAGCAAAATAGGAATTGATTTATATATGGATAATTCTCTGCACTTTCCAAAGCAAGCTCATCTCGCTGTGATTTCTATGCGTATAGGATGCAAAGACCCAGAAAGCAATCAGCTTGGTGCAGACTCTAGGTTAGACCCAACTCCCGCCCTGGGCTCCTCTGTTACTCCACTGGTCTTGTGAGGGCCCAACTGGGCCATGCAGAGCGGGTGTCTGGCCCTCAAGGTCTGGGCGTGGGCCCTCAGGCCAGCGGTCTGTTTCTCAAGCCCACGTGTCTATCCTCAGCAGGAACGACCGGCTTGCCTCTCCTCTAGAGAACACAGCCTTCCTCTGCCACGGGAATGTTTACCCTGTTAAAATGGAGTTGTTCTGGCTTTGGCTTTGGGGCAGGGCTAAGAAGTGCAGCAGCAACGGCCTTGTGAAGAGAAGGTTGCCGCGTCTGGGAAGAGCGGGCTGCGGGGCTGAGCAGCTGCGCCTTCATTCTCCGCTCTGCCGCTCGGCAGGGCTGCGTGGGCCTCCCTGCCTCCCTCCCCGAAGGGCATCGTAGGACTCCCGGGGCAGTGAAACTGCTGACTTGGTTCCTGGCACATAGTAGGCGCTCAGTGATTTCAGTTTTCCCCTTTTCTCGTGCTCCCACACGGAAGGGAGAGATGGCCAGGGCAGCCAGCTGAAGGACAAGCTGGCTGTCCTGAAACAGGATGCCTTTCAAAAGTTTCCATAAGGCGTCGCCACTTGTTAGGACTGGATGTGAAATCCCTGCCCGAGCCACGTCCCCGCTCCCGCCTCGGAGCCCGTTCCCAGCTCAGCTCAGCGCCAGTCCATTAAACCTGCTTCCAAGAACACATAATGATCTGCTTGGCGCGCTCGGGCTCTCCCGGCTGCCCACACCTCCTCTTCTCCCTCAGAAATAGGGACAGGGAGGGCTGTTTGGATCAGCCCCCATGGCTTTCCAAAAAGCCAGGCCTCGAATGTCTGGCAAGCGGCTCCTAAAACAACCAGCTCTTCCAGGCTCTCTGCAAGAACCGTCCTTGTTGGGTACCAACTGTGCGCCCCTGGGCCACCCCGGAAGGATCAGGGCTGGAAGGCCCAGGCCTTGCCTGGAAAGAGCTCACGTTTGGGTGGCAGGGGACAGCAGGGACCAGGCACTGTGTCCTGGGGAGGAAGTGCTTGGGCAACTTGGAGTACACAGAGCAGCTGCCCTGCCCTCCCAGCATTGGGGAGACGACAGGGCTCAACTTTCACGTAGGGACTTGGCTGAGCAGGCAAGAGAGAAGCACATGCTCCAGGCCAAAGAAATGTCTGAGAAAATACTTGGTTTGGGCCAGGAAGTTTCAGTACGGATCCTGCTGGAGCATGGGAGAGATGTCAGCAGGCAATCAAAGACCAAACGAAGGCGTCAGAGCCAGACAGTGAGGAGTCCTTGGTCCCTAGGTTTGGACTCAAGTTCTTCCAATGTTTAGAAAATGCAGCTCCTGCTCTATTGTACTAATTTTGAATTTTTTATCTTGACTCTTTTCTCTTAAAGACTATCCATTCCAAGTGAGGATGCAGGAACATGCCAATTCCCAATGGAAAAGAGCTGAGCCCTTCTAGAATGTTTCTGCTGCCATGGGTGGGAAGGGGCCCGTGCTTGGAGGGGTTTCTTGGACTGTGGGTGTGAATTAGTGCAGAGTCAAACCTGTCTCTTGCCCCATGGTCCCTTGGGTTTAAGTATAGCAGTGGGCTGGTCATCTAGGGGTGAATCTCAAATGGCCTCACTTATGTCATCTTCTAACCAACTGAGTTATTGAGATCACAGCAGCTCTGGAGAAGGAAAAGTGATTAGCAGGTTCTCCAAAATATTTGTTGAATTGATTAATTTTGCCCAAGACCTCAAAATTGATGCAAGGAGAATTTCTATAAATGTCTACCGCCTTAGGACTGGAAGG